ATGACCCTTTACTATAACACATAGATCCGCTTCTGATTATCACGTTATTTAAAAGATATCTGCAAGACTATCTATAATATGACTATTTATAGGATTAACTTTTTAGAAGATGTTACATATATCATACTACAATAATTAAGTATGTTATTTAAAATACACTAATTATAAAAATTAAGAAGGGCTGCACCCTCTAGGGGTGATATAGCAAAATACATTAATTATAGTATAAATTTCTTTTAGGTGAGACAATATCTTACTACGGTATATTAAAAAAATTCTAATATGACAAAATATCTTACATTATTCAAGAGTATATATTTTAAATTCATTATAAAAAAATAAAAGTATCTTATGAACATATTGGGAAGCATGGAAGAGAGATTAGTTAGGGCCCGTTTGGCAAAAAAAGATTCCTTTTTCCGATTTTTTTTCTAAAAATCAGTGTTTGGCGATGAAATTTTCGATTTTCATCTAAAGATAAATTTTTAAAATTTTCTGAAATTTTTTAAAAACTTCAAAAAACTATTTTTCAAAATTTTCACTTCAGATACTCACAAAAAATTAAATCAACCTAAAATTATATCCATGTCCAAACACTACTCTAATTATTCAAATACTATTTTCACTTGATTATAGGATATATATAACTATGTATAATCTATGTAACCGGTTATAAACAGTGAATTCGGTTATAAAAGAATCGAAATTTTACAATTCTTACGTCCAAACGCCACTTAGTTTTAATTTATTAGTAGTAGTAATCAAATACTATTAGCCAACCTACAATCGAAGAAACAGTCAGCAGAAGACAACCAATACCTACTCAAACAAACCATTACATGACAAATTCTCACACTTTCTTGTCTCTCTCTCTCCGCACACCGCCACAATCCAACTTTTATTCAAGATTTTCACAATCTTTTCCCAAAAGGGGTCTCTTTTTTAACAAATTCAAAACCTTTTTTTTGGTTTAAAATGGAGAATATAGAAGAAGGATTGTTATTGAAAGAAAAAGAAGAAAAGGGTGTAGTTGAATTGAGATGGGAAGTAATTTGGGAAGAAATGAAAGAACTTGGTTATTTGGCTGGACCAATGATAGCAGTAACACTTTCACAGTATTTTTTACAAGTAATATCAATGATGATGGTTGGTCATTTAGGTGAACTTTCTCTTTCAAGTACTGCTATTGCTCTTTCTCTTGCTGGTGTCACTGGTTTCAGCTTTCTTGTAAGTACCTATACGGCTATACCTATGATTCTTTGTCACGCAATTAGTGTAATTTAGCTGGTTGAAGGGGAGGCTTGGAGTAACTGACAAAGTGGCTGCCTTGTGAACAGGAGGTCACGGGTTCGAGCAGTTGAAACAGCCTCTTGCAGAAATGCATATAAGTCTGCGTACAATAGACTCTCGTGGTCTGGCCCTTCCTCGGACCCCGCGCATAGCTGCACCGACAGCCCTTTTAGTGTAATTTAACTGGTTATAGCAGGTTCTCACTCTATATTTCAGGTTATCATATCATACTTAATACCTATAGTTGTAGGTCCGTTTTACCTGACTAGTAATGTAAAAATTTCAAGAAGAATTAATCCAAATAGACGCCCACCTAATTGCTTAAACTTAAAATAGGCGGCTGATGTATAATATATGTATAATTGTGTATACCGGTTAAGAAAAGTAAACATTGAATTTAGCAGGCTATTTGTGTAACAATCCCAAAAATCAACACATTATCCGTGGCCAGAAGTTAAACTCTTTCTTCCTTATGTAACTTGTAATGTGTCATGTTTATAATTTTGGGAACTTATAATGTTTGGATGTCTATGAGGTTGGAGTTCAATGTTTTTGCGGCAAAAGAAATGGTCTTTCAATGACAGTCTAAAGAATTTTCTATTGGTGCAATTTAACTGGTTATAGCAAGTTCTGCTCTAGATTTTAGGTTATCATATCATACGTAATGCCTATAGTTGTAGCCTGTAGGTCAGTTTTACCTGACTAAAAATGTACAAAATCAATACATTATCCGTGGCTAGAACTTAAACTCTTTCTCCCTTATGACATATGTTACTTGTAATGTGCTATTTTTACAAGTTCGGGAACTTATAATGTTTAGATGTCTATGAGGTTGTAGTTCAATGTTTTTGTGGCAAAAGAAATGATCTTTCTGTGACAGTCTAATGAACTTTCTATTAGTGCAATTTAACTGTTATAGCAGGTTCTTGCTCTATATTTCAGATTATCATATAATACTTAATGAATATAGTTGTAGGTCCGTTTTACCTGACTAATAATGTAAAAGAGTCAATACATTATCCGTGGGTAGAACTTAAACTCTGTCTTCCTTACGTAACTTGTAATGTGCTATTTTTACAATTTTGGGAACTTATAATGTTTTGATGTCTACGAGGTTGTAGTTCAATTTTTTTGCGGCAAAAGAAGTGGTCTTTCTATTACGGTCTAAAGAAACCTGACTAATGATGTAAAAAAATCAATACATTATGTGTGGCCAGAAGTTAAACTCTTTCTTCCTTATGCAACTTGTAACGTGTTATGTTTACAATTTTGGGAACTTATAATGTTTTGATGTCTACGAGGTTGTAGTTCAATGTTTTGGCGGCAAAAGAAATGGTCTTTCTATGTGTGTAGTTTTTTTTTGTGTGTGTGTGTTGGGGGGGGGGGGAGGTTGTGGCCAGAGAAGACACTATTTTTGTGTAAGCAATAGGAGAATAACAATGTGTTCAAAGTAGAATTAGACAAAGAATTATTGTTTTTTTCTATCTTCAGCTTAGAGGGTAGAGTTAGTTCTAGAGTGATTAAGAAATACTGATTTTCCACAAAACAAAGTTTCAAATTATTTTCTTCCTTTGTCTTCTCTAGAGTTAGACAAAATTTCAGTTTCCATAAGTGGGGTTGTGGAACATCTTCCAAATGGCACATTTATTTATTGAAAAGAACAACAGAGAGCAACAACAACAACAACAACGACCTAGTAAAATCCCACAAGTGGGGTCTGGAGAGGGTGGTGTGTACGCAGACCTTACCCCTACAACGATGGGGCAGAAAGATTGTTTCCGATAGACCCTCGGCAAACATAGAACAACAGAGAGCAAGTAGTATCAAAATCTTTTGGGAACTTTTAATGTCAGTAGTGCCAAGATTTGTGCTTTATTGTCCTGCCTGAAATTGTTGTTGTCGAACTTAATTCAGTGCTAACTTTCGCTTGCTAGCTCTTCTTTTAACTAAAGGATAAAGTTATGAATATTGTGAAGTAAAGATATTGAGAAATATGAGATGAAATGCGCTAAGCAGAAAATTATGTTTGGAGAAACAGTGTATTGTTGTCTTGAGAGTATAGCGAAGAAATGGAATGTCATAGTTATTAGTATAGAAGCTCTTCGCTTTCTTGTTTAAACATTTCATCTTTGCAACTATCTATTAAGCAAACATTAATATTCTTGAACCTTCATTGCTTTTGATCATTTGAAGTTAACAGCTAGGCCAGTGGTCAAACATATCAAGATGAAATGGTTTGAATGACTTGATCATTATCATACTTTATTGTATGATAATGAATATCCTATGCACATGATAGACGTTCTTAGTTTGGCAAACTATGAGTTATAGCTTGTTGTGGTATTACACTGGGTTTGTTGTTGTTGTTGAGTTATAGATTGTCGAAAGATATGAAGAGATGGACTAATTGTTTAGGAACAACCTTTCTTTTTTTCTTTTCTTTTTTTGGCATCTCCGCTGACAACTATTTAAATATGCCTTGTAGTTAGGAATGGCCAGTGCACTAGAAACTCTTTGCGGACAGGCTTTTGGAGCTAAGCAATACCAAAGACTTGGTACTCAAACATACACTGCCATTTTTTCTCTCTTCATTGTTTGCATTCCCCTCACAATCTTATGGATGTATATGGGAACATTGCTTACCTTCATCGGCCAAGATCCTCAGATTTCTCATGAAGCTGGAAAGTTCATTAAGTGGCTGATTCCTGCTCTCTTTGCTTATGCAAATCTTCATCCGCTTATTCGGTACTATCAAATGCAAAGTATGATTGTTCCCATGCTCGTAAGCTCCTGCATGACAATATGCTTCCACATACCGCTGTCTTGGGTGCTAGTGTTTCGCTCTGGCTTAGGTAATATTGGCGCGGCAATAGCTATTGGTATATCGATGTGGTTGAATGTCATAATCCTTGCTTCATACATGAGGTTGTCTCCCGCTTGTGCAAAAACCCGTGCACCAATGTCTTGGGAGATCGTCAAGGGAATGAGAGAATTCTTTCAGTTTGCTATCCCTTCTGCAATCATGATTTGGTACTTCAGCTCCTTCCTCCACTCACTTGAAGAATTTAAATACACTTTTCAGTCGTGTGTCTTTCTACGAAATTTATGCTACGTGTTGTATTTTTGTAGTCTTGAGTGGTGGTCATTTGAGCTGCTCATCTTGCTATCAGGCCTATTGCCAAATCCGCAACTTGAAGCTTCAGTTCTGTCTATATGGTATGTTTTGCATCTCGCTCTCGAATGAGTAAACTCAGTTAGTAATATGATCCATGAAATCCAAGATTTTGCTAATCTTTTGGGAATTTTTATAATGCAGCCTGAACACCATTTCTACGCTTTATGCAATACCATTTGGTCTCGCTGGTGCTGTAAGGTTTGTCTAAGTGTTTAATCCAACTTTCCACTTCCATGTGGTTTGTTTCTCAAATATCTGCTTAAGCATTGACTTCCTGTTTACTTTCAGCATTAGAGTATCTAATCAATTAGGAGCTGGAAATCCTCAAGGAGCTCGCGTATCTGTGCTTTCTGCAATGCTCATCGCGGCCACAGAGACAATACTCGTAAGCACAACTGTCTTTGCTTGTCGAAACGTATTTGGCTACATTTTCAGCAACGAGAAGGAAGTTGTGGACTATGTCGCAAACATGGCCCCTCTTCTATGTATATCGGTCATAACTGACAGCTTGCAAGGAACTCTTTCAGGTTAGACTTTTTCCACATCAAATTACTACAAGAAAAGTTAACAAATATCAGTGGCGGAGCCACATTTACCAAAAGGGGGTTGTTCAACTGAATTCCCTTTATCGGGAAGGTGTACTATGTATATAGGTGAATTTTTTTAAACATGTATATGTATAAAGTGAAAGGAAGCCTTGGCGTAACTGGTAAAGTTACTGTCATATGACCAGGAGGTCACGGGTTCAACCTGTGGAAACAACCTCTTACAGAAATGCAGAGTGGTTGCGTATAATAGACCCTTGTGATCTGGCCCTTCCCCGGACCCCGCGCATAGCGAGAGCTTCGTACACGGGCTTCCCTTTATGTATATGTATAAATTGTTAAATCCGCCACTAACATATACATGACAAGAACGGGCGTGTGACTATTTGCTGCTTTGTGCACATTGTAGGTGTTGCGAGGGGATGTGGTTGGCAGCATATCGGAGCCTATGTCAATCTTGCTTCATTTTACCTTTGCGGAATTCCTATAGCTGCTTCATTAGCTTTTTGGCTTAACTTTAGGGGAAAAGGCCTGTGGATCGGCGTACTTTCTGGTGCTGTTGTGCAATCTATTCTACTATCTGTGATAACATGCTGCACAAATTGGAAAAAACAAGCTGCAATGGCAAGGGAGAGGCTTCATGCTGATGAAAAATCATCTATTGATAACAGATTGATGTAAATGAATTGAACTTCTCTTATTGAAGTCTAGAACAAGTGTATGCAGACCTTACCCTTACCGGTAGAGAGGCTGTTTCCCAACCCGGTATCCTTCCCTCCAAGAACTTCCCACCTTGATCTTGGGGAGACTCGAACTCACAACTTCTTGGTTGGAAGTGGAGGTTGCTTACCATCAGAGCAACCCCTCTTGCCAAGTTACAGAATACTGAACTACTGAAAAATAGAGAGAGGATCCAATTTTCCCTTCTATCCTCTAAAGTTTGTACTTTAATTTGTATGTCCTCTAAATCTGCATAATCAAAGTTGAGTTCTTTTTCTTCTTTTGTCACATTGATTGATAGGAGTTGAGCTTAAACGAAGAAGTGAGGATTTGTATAGCTGATCTTAACTTGTTTGTATTGAAGCGTAGTTCTTGTTTATCACGTTGATGTAAATTTGGGCAATTTATTGTCAAGCATGAATGTCACATGAGGCATCAAACAATTGCTAGACTTTAGTTAGGGACAACCCGTGGCACAAGGTATCTTGCATTCATGCAGGGGTTCGATGAAGCGTCGCACCCTAAGGACTGCGTTGTAGACAATTTATCCTAAAGCAAGAATTAATGGTTGCTTCTACGGTTTGAACCTTGACCTGTAGGTCACATAAAGATAATTTTATCGCTATTCCAAGGTTTCCCTTCAATTGCTACACTTTAGTTGGGGAGAAATTCAAAAATTAGCCAAATTTATAAGTGATAATTGAAAAATAATCACAGTTTCAAAAGTAATCTAATTTAGTCACTTTTCATGTAAAGATAAATCTGAGCGAAAACACTGTTCAAAATCCGGAAAATATTCCAGCATAATATACTGGTCTAGCATATTATGCTGGAAGTTCATACACATGTGCTTCAATCTCCAATATATTATGCTGGAACTTTCCGTGCATTGAAGTTCTAGCATAATATGATGGAAATTCATATACAGGTGCACCAATCTCCAGTATATTATACTGGAACATTCCGTGTTGCAGCAAAAAAAATGGCTATTTTTGAATGACTTTGCAAATGCTAACTATTTTTCAATTACCAGTCCAAAAACTGGCTAGCCCGTGCTATTTTCACCTTTTTTATTTGGGACTTATAAATGTTTTGTTCCTAAAAATTTGTTAATTAGCTTGATTAAGATGATCATAGGCACACGTGAAATTTTGTTATTAGCTACCAGTTTCAGATTTAAAAGATAATAGAGATATATTTTAATGGAACAAGAGTTTTTTTATATAAAAATTAGAAGGGAAAAAAAGCTAATACTTGGAGCAATAACTCATAATTGTGGGATTTTACGACAAAATAGAAACATACAGAAAAGAAGTAATTTAAACTTCAGCTAGAATAGCAATTATCATAATATGGTGCAATTATAAATTTACAGTTTTCAAAAAATGTACACCAGTAATAAGGGGGGAATTTTTTTATTTTATTTTTTCAATTAGGACAAGAAACGAGAAAATGACAAAAATAGTTCATTGTATTTGAGATAAGTTTAAAATAGTCCCTTATATTTATAAACAATTTTGATGTTATAAGTTCGCCAAAATATATTTTATTTTGTATCGCATTTATTAAATACACATGCTAATTATAAACGCATCGACAGAATGCGATTTATAGACGCATTCGTTTTAACGATGTCGTATTATTCTTCCAGCGATTGATAATAAAACCCAACCGTGTTCTTCCGCCTCAACTCTTCTGCAAATAGTGGAGAAGGTTTTGCCTTTTAACTTTTAGGGGAGAGAAAGAGAAATGGGGAAAACAGCAAAAGAACAATTGAATAGAGCTCTAAATGAACATCTCAATACCATTCATGAAACTCTTCAGGTTTAATTTTATAACTCCTTTAATTTTTTTATTTTTTTTGCATTTTTTATTATATTTGTATAGTGTGATTTACGAAAAAGAGTTTTTTATTATTATTATTATAGGTATTGAATCAAACACCATCATCATCACTTGAAAGAGTATGCTGGAAAGAAGTAATTCAATTGGGTGAACAGCTTTATAAACAAGCTACTATGGGTCAATCTTCTCTTTCTCTGTTTTATGTATTTAATTTTTGCTGCTAAAAGTTCCAATTTTTATGCTTTATATATATATGCCATGTTTGTGGTTATATTTGGTTTTGCTGAAACGAGGTTACCTCCAAATTTATGTTTATATGCAAGTTATGTTTTCTTTTAAATTAAATAATGCAATTTATGCTTAAATATTATAAATGTAAGATGAAGGTTGATATTGAAAGTTCTCAGTCCTCCTTGAGCCATTTCTTCTGTCTTGTAATGTTGTGATGAGCTTATTTTTACCGAATATCCTTTTCATTGTAGATGATATTATAGAGTAAGGTTGATACTTATTAAAAAATTCGGGCATCAACACAATAGAGATAGATATATGAAAGCTCAGCACATTAGACATAATGACTGGACTTCGATTGAAAATGAATAGAACAAGATGCAAAGTAGTTATAAATGAGTGGTTTCCAATTTATCGTGTGGACCAAAAGAAAAGGTTAGTGTTGCCACCAGAGCTTTGGTCTAGTGGTTAGAATACAACTCCTGATTTATGGGTTAGGTGTGTGAGCACGTGATTTTTGCTTCACGGAAACTAATCCAAATGAAATCGGAAAAGAAATAAAACAAGTTACCTTCGGGTACAATTTTGAGGATTTGTGTGACATTTTTGATAATTGTTTTGTCCGTAAATGCTCGCCTTGCTATAGTTAGAAAAATACAAAAATACATGTTGCATGCATTTAGGAAAATGGCACATTTAGGAATTAATTAACCATTATTTGGTTTTTAAAAGCGAAAATCACAAAAATATGCATTTCTATGTTGTCATGGCAATTTTATTAAATGTTTTAATTCGTTGGATAATTGTTGTTAGGTGTTAATTAATATTTGTGTAGTTTAATTTTGGGTTTTAGGAATTTTTGGTTTAATTATAAGAAGGAAAGACCGGATTTGGGTCAAAATTTAACTAAAAAATCAGGCCCCCGGATTTGGGGTCTATCAATTCATTTCCAGTTTATGATCCTCTTCTTTGTTGGGGATCAGTGTATTATTCTCGGCTTTCATTTGCCTGACTTGGCACCTCTCGGATATTGATCGGGAGGTTTTTTTTGGACGTTGATGTTGGTCTTGTGTGGGTTTAAAGAAAGGCTAGCAAAAATTCAAAAATGACTTCGACGGGTGAAACGCTACAACTCTTGGAATCATCCCTTTTT